TTGAGCTGACGCTCAAGTGGATCTCGGCGGCCTGGAAGTCCGTGCCCAAGGAGCTCATTCAACGAGCGTTCCTCACCTGCGGCATCAGCAACGCCCTGGATGGGTCCCAGGACAAGCTCTGCCTGCAACACAGGCGAGACGAGCTCGAGGGCGAGGAGGTTGACGTAGATGATGAAGTTGCAGCAGACGGTTTCTTCTGCAACAACGTAGAGGAACCTGAGTCGGACTCTGAGGCCGACCCAGATGACCCCACTGTAGCTGATGATTAGAGTAGGGTAGAATTCTAGAAAATGGTGAAGCCTGTGTGATGCTTGTAGGTAGAATTAGATTAACTAGAAGTAGATAAACTAGTTGTAGATTATCTAACATGATATGCTAGTGGATAAAATGTAAAAAATGTCTTCAAATTAAAAAAAACAATAAAAAACCAGGGTGGCGGTTATAATGTGATCGGTATAGGTATGCGGTTATAATCTGTAAGCCTTTTAGGTATGCGCTTATAATCGAGCACCGGATATAAGCGCCACACGCCAATTAAAAGCGCCAGGCGCTTATCCGCGGGTGGCGCTTATATCCGGGGTATGACGGTACGTCGACGAAGTTCCCCCACCTGGGGCGAACATCGTCAGTGGCATGTGGATTTTCAGGGTGAAGCGGCCGCCGGGTTCCCCGTATGTCTTCAAGGCACGTTACGTGGCTCTTGGCTTCAGTCAGCGGCAGGGAGTTGACTACATTCAAACCTTCTCTCCCACCTCGAAGATGACCACTCTTCGGGTGCTGCTGCACATAGCCGCTCAGCGCGTTTAAGAGCTTCACTCTCTTGACTTCAGCACAGCTTTCCTGCAGGGCAGCCTGCACGAGGAGATCTGGCTGCGCCGCCCACCTGGCTTCACTGGGTCAATTCCTCCTGGTACCCAGTGGAGCCTCCGGCGGCCAGTCTACGGTCTCTGCCACGCGCCCTGTGAGTGGCACGACACACTGAGGACTACACTTGCGGCTCTTGGGTTTGCTCCTTCCACTGCCGACCCGTCGCTGTTTCTGCGCACCGACACCTCTTTGCCGCCGTTCTACATCCTCGTGTACGTCGACGACTTGGTCTTTGCCACTGCTGACACTGCTGGACTCGCCCACGTGAAGTCCGAGCTGCAGAAGAGAAACACGTGCACAGACCTGGGTGAAGTGCGCAGCTACCTTGGCTTGCAGATCACTCGGGACAGAGCACAGCACACCATTACCCTGACTCAGTCACACATGGTGCAGCAGGTCCTTCAGCGCTTCGACTTCACGTACTCCTCGCCTCAGGCCACTCCTCTGTCTACTCGCCACTCGCTCTCAGCTCTGCCTTCGGATGAGTCCGTAGAGTCGAGTGGCCCGTACCCAGAGCTTGTTGGCTGCCTCATGTACCTGATGATCTGCACACGACCTGACCTAGCATACCCTCTTAGCATCTTGGCACGCTATGTTGCTCCTGGGAGACACCGACCTGAGCACGTGGCTGTAGCGAAGAGGGTGTTGCGCTACTTGTGCAGTACGTCGGGCATGGGGCTGTTGAGGTACTAGAAAGGCTTAGGAGCCATAGCTAGTAGGTCGAGTAGTTGAGTTCGAGTGAGTTTGGGTGAGTCGAGAAGATTGCAACAAAAGAGTGGTTTCACTATAGAGCGAGCAGTACAAATAGGCAAGAATGAAGAAAGGTGCACCACCAAACAGAAAGTTAGATGACTACAGTAGTCTACACTACAGGCAGTTACAAAACAATATATAGAATTATATATTATTCTGACAGGGGCTAGTGCTTGGAGGGCGACGTCGAGTGGTCCTCACAGGTCACGCAGACGCTTCTTGGGCTGACGACCAGGCTACGCAGCGGTCGTCACAGGGTTACACCTTCAGCCTTGGCTCCGGCTCTGTTTTGTGGCGGTCTACCCGCTCGTCTTCTGTTCTCGGCTCCAGCTGTGAGGCTCAGATCTACGCGGGGGCCATGGCTGCATAGGAGCTACGCTGGCTCACCAACATGCTGACTGACCTAGGAGAGCCGCCTCGTTCTCCTCCAGTTCTGTACGTAGACAAGAAGGCCATGCTGGCCTTGTGTCGGGAGCACAGACTGGAGCACAGAACGAAGCACATTGCTCTTCGCTACTTCCTTGCTCGTGAGCTGCAGCAACGTGGTCAGCTGCGCCTTGCTTACGTGGCCTCTGAGGCCAACACTACTGATATCTTTACCAAGGCACTTCCGCCTTGTGATCATCAGCGCTTTTGTACGATGCTAGGTCTTGTGCCTACTTGGCCTCACTTGCTCACTTCTTGACCTTGCTTGTACTGTGATCTTTCTATACCTGCACTTGCTTGTTTACCTTTATATATTATCTTGCATGTGAACTGGCCTTGTGGCCTTGCTCTTGTGTTCGGACTGTGTGGTGACGTTGTGATCCACCCTGAGCTTGCTTTGCTTTGCTTGACTGGTCTTGTGACCTCTTGTTCTCCCCCACTTTGCCTATGGGGGTGTGTCAAACTTATATGCTATGGTCTATCTAGGCTGTCGTGGGGTAGACACTAAAGGGTACAACATTTCTACGTTTCCTACTTGTACCCACATTTTCCTTAGTCATTTCATTCCTCATTTCTTCACATATATACCTCTGCATGTGAACTGACCTTGTGGCCCTCTGCTTGTGCTCAGTGTGTGTGGTGACATTGTGATCCACCCTAAGCTTGCTTTGCTTCTCTTGACTGGTCTTGTGACCCCTTGCTCTCCCCCACTTTGCCTATGGAGGTGTGTCAAGTTATATATATGCTATATATGTTTAGGCTGTGGTGGGGTAGCCAATATGGGGTACGGCCCCTTCTAGGGTTTCATATTACAGTGAGCCCCCGGATAGAAGCACCCCTGGGGGTGTAAAAAAGCACTGTTTTTTAGGGGGTGCGCTTATATTTGAGGATTTTTATAAGCGCCGGGGCTTATATAGTGACATATATGAAATCTAGTTTTTTTACACTTAAGTGTTCATCTCGTCCTTGCGATTTGAATCGAATCGATATTGTAGAGGACATCGAATGTGAATTTCGCGTAAATCGGCAGTGGCTGATTCCCTGCCAACACACATAGTCAGAATGAGTTAGGTTGACCCCATGACAGCTCATTATGACTGGACGTGAAGGCATTGAGTCACGCGAAGGGGAAGGGTTTCGAAATTCTGAATGTGGGGATGCAATATTGTGTTTCGTTATAGCGTTTCCAGTAAAAATATAAAAAAAATACAAAGGGTGGCGCTTATAATCCGTAAACCTTCAGGGGTGCGCTTATAATCGAGGACCGGATATAAGCGCCCTCATCCTTTTATAAGCGCTGGCGCTTATCCGAGGCCTGCGCTTCTATCCGGGGGCTTACGGTAGTACCCAACACTTTCCTATTTCATTCATTTTCCTGCCTAGCACTAACAAGGCGGTTGCACACCGCTTGTGCAACCGCTTGATGTGTCTATCAACCACGCGTTCAAGGCGGGCGTCCGCCACCGTTACGGCAAATGGTTCGAGGAGGACAGATCACAAGCACAACACCCGCAGGTAAGCCCGTGAATGAAGCAATACCCGCGTGAAGTCTGTGTAAGAACTGTCGAATCACACAACCATATACACTGGCATCCCTTTCCCTTGGCCCCCTCTCACAGGCAACCTGAAGAAACGCCGGCCGGACTCGTCATGAAGTGGATTGACGAGTCGTGGGCCGACGTTCCCGAGGAGATGGCGAGGAAAGCATTCCCTCACCTGTGGCATCTCCAACGCAGAGGACGGGAGCCAGGATCATCTAATCCTGGCGCATATGCGAGATTCCGGCGAGGTGGAGGTGCCGGAGGACGTGATGGAGGAGGAGCAGGATGAACTGGTCCCCAACCCATTCTACCCGGCCTCCGTGGTCACCCCTCCCGATTTGACCGTCGAGATGGAGGAGGAGGTAGTGCTGGTTGCTGAAGCAGAGGAGGCCGATGAGGAGGCAGTACCTGCAAAGTTAGACTCGAGTGAGTCCGACGATGGAAACGCGGGCGAAGCTGACGAGTGGAGCGACTAAGGGGATGACTGGTGGGCCCCTGGTCGCTATGAGGGGGCAGAGGTAGAGGAATGGGTGGCGGGTGACGAAGATGAGTACCGTATCAAGGAGGGGGCTGATTTCAAGGAGGGTGAAGAGTGGAGCTAGCTGGGTGTTGAGAGGTTGTCTTGTTTGTATTTTGTGACCCCTGTGGCCTAACATGTGCCACTAATTGCTTAACTGACATGAATTTGCCTAGGGTCTTCTAATGATCTCACCCCATTAGGGGGGTATAAGGAAAACAGCCCAGAATAATAAACCCCCACCCCCCCCCCCCCCCCCCGTATTAAAGACCTGGGTACATTATTATAGGGGAGTCTTGAATCCGGGGGATTACGGGTACTTTGTATCTTTAGCCCACATACGGTAATGCAATCCTCGTTATCTCGTTCCATTGCACCCGTAACAGCTATACATGCTTTCCCAACAAACAGAGGACCCATGCCCGATATTTGAAGTGGCTTGAAACTGCAGTTCGAGTTTTATAGCACGACTGGAATGATAAGAGCACGATATTGTACAAATAATAAAAATGCTAGTAGGGTCCTTCATATGGTGTAAGTCCCTCGTCATCGAATGCGCTGTAGAGCCTGCATGATGCACATTCAATCATGCATGGTGCACATACAATCATGCATGGTGCACATACAATCATGCATGGTGCACATTCCATCATGCATGGTGCACATACAATCATGCATGGTGCACATACAATCATGCATGGTGCACATTCCATCATGCATGGTGCACATTCCATCATGCATGGTGCACATTCCATCATGCATGGTGCACAATCAATCAGGTGTAGACAAGAGGGGTGGATGGTGGAAGGGAATGAGGTGAGTTGTAGGAACCCGTGGTTGGAAAACATTGAGGCCACAATACAGAGGAAAACGGTACCACAGCATGGGGATGAAGCTTACCCGATATTGAGATCAGTTTGGGGCAGCCCCCTGTGCTGGTGTGGGCCACTTGCACTTGCAGGAAACGCGTTGTTGGCTGCCGGGCTTTCAGCGGCCAGTGCACGGGCGGTGGGTGCAGGAGGCAGCGAGAAGCTCCCGAGCGGCATCGCCCCGCCGTGTCGCACTCTGCTGTCAGGCGCCGCACCGTACCTCATGTCCTTCTCCTGCTGCCACAATGGCTGCTGCGCCTGCACGTGACCGTGGACCTCACCAAACAGGTCGCTAGCCCTTCCCCTGCCCGCCTTCCCTTCCTCAGCTGCCGGGCGTCCACATGCTCGCTGCTCTCTCCCCTCCCCCACTTGCAACTCCACCTCTTGTTGTTTCTCTTGTAACCGTGCAAGCCAATGCCGCTGCTTCCCGGGTTTCAGCACGTTGTTTTGCTGCTGCTGATTCTGCTGCTGCCTTTCCTCCTGATGCAGCTGCTGCTGCTGAGTCTGTTGTTGCATCTGTTGCTGCCCGTGCTGCAGCTGCTGCTGCATGTGGTGGAGCACGAGCAGCCGCTGTTGGAGCTGCCAGGGACCACAGTCTTCCATCCTCTCCGCCGTCTCTCCAGCAGGCACAGGGTCGGGTGGCGTGGCATGCGGCATGCGGGCAGCAGCAGGCGCGGGGGCACCACTTGAGCAGCGGGCGTGCACGGCGTCCTCGGCAGCACCGTCTCGCCCACCAGGGCCCCTGCGAGGATGAGCAGGAGCACTGCCCGTGCACCCCACGTCCACATCGTCTCGCTCGCCACTGCCCCCTCCATGCGCTCTGGACGGCACACTCTCTTCGCGTTGCTCCTGTGCGTGCTGCTGGGGGTGCTGAGGAGGAGGCTGAAGCTGCCCATTCTCCCCCCCCTGCCGTACCGCCTCCAGATCAATCCAGAACCTTCTCAGCAGTTTCGTTTTCTCCTGCACCAGCTGGTCATCTGCGCCGCGCTTCCCTCGCAACAAGGCGCCAACCATCGACAGCCCATTGCCTGGAACCCCATCCGTTCGACCTGCGCCTCTCGACACGCTCATGGGCAAGGCACCAACGGCACCCTCCCTGGCAGCTCTGTCAACTGCTGCTGCACGTGCTGCCATGTCAGCGCCACCACCAGCTGCTGCTGCACCTGCTGCGACGTCGCCTCTCAATACCCCCTCTGGTTCATCTGGGCCCATGTGCACGCGAGCAGCAGTGTCGGGTAGTGCTTGTGAAGTGGAAGGAAGAGGCGCCATGGCGTGCGTCTCTTGAGCTGCCGCCTCCAGCGCCTCCTGCTTCACCATGGCCCTCGCTGCCTCTGCCAGCGCTGCCACTCCACTGGCAGCCGCAGCAGCAGCAGCGCCTTCACTGGTAGCATAAACAGCAGATAACGGTGCGGAGCGGTGGGGTGATGTGGTGCGAGGTAAGTGCGACGGTGTCCCGCGTGAATGCGAGCTGCCATGCCCCACCGCCACACTTGTTGGTCGCCCGCTGCCACGTGTGTGCGAGGTGCCGTGCGCGATGCCATGTGCAAGGCCGTGCGGGTGGGATGGGTGTTTCCATGCATGGGCCGACACGGCATGGGTGTGGCGAGAGGAACCGGCCAATGGGAAGGCATGGTGAATGGCGTCATCATCATCGTCAGCATCGGAGTCACTATCCAGTTCATCCGCCCCTTCATCCATCCCCATAGCTGTGGCTGTGCCTGGCAATCCTGCCCCACCAGCACCAGCACCAGCACCGGCACCAGCATCAGCATCAGCATCAGCATCAGCACCGCCAGCATCCGTATCAGCACCAGCATCACTGCAATCATCACCATCCCTATCCTCCTCACCATCCCCCCCGTCATCCCCCTCGCCATCAGCCTCCCCATGCCCTTCCCGATCCCTATCCCCACTGCCCTGCCCATCCGTCCCCGGACACTCCCATCCGTCCTCGTCCCCCTCTCTGCCCCCACTCGCGCCCTCATCCCCTGCTCTCACCGCCCCCACACCTCCTGCACCCCCCATCCCGTCACCAGCTGCATCCGCCCCTGCTCGTGCCTCAGCCTTGCTCTGATTCTCCACCTGCAAGAGGTCCAGGGAGTGGGATTGGGATAGGCAGAAGCATAGACGATGGTAAAGCTCCCAAGCTCCCATGGAATCATGAGGCAAGAGGCATGCAGGAAGACAGACAAGCAGGCAAGCACGGGCCAATCACGCAGGCAGATGGGCAGGCAAAGATACAGGCAAGCATGCAAGGAGGCAGCAGGCGGGCGAACGTACGCGCGACTTGAGGTGCGAGATGGTGCGGTCAAACAACTCCTCCTGCCACACACGCGAGGCCACACACGACAGCAGTGGGCAGTGGGCAGTGGGGGAGAGATTGAGGACGAGGTGAGGAACGAGTGGAATGAGCATGAGCAGTGGCATCTGAGTGGCGACGGCAACCACAGCATCAATGGCAGCGGCATGAGCAGTGCCTTCTCAGAGCCCAACCTCTACATCTCTGCTCCCACCTTTTTCCATCCCAACCTCCCCTTCCCACCTTTTTTTCTCGTAGTCGAGAAAGGCTGTCTTCTAGCTGCTTCTCCAGTCGCCTCATCTCCTCCAATCCCAGCCCTCCAAACGACTCTGCTGACGTGTCCAGGCAAACAAGCGCCCTTGATTGTTCATCCCGCAGCCTGCAAACCAAATTTTGCGGGGTAGATGGTGGAGTGGAAGGGAAGGGGGAAGGGGGAGAGGGAGAAGGCGGACGGGGGAGGGGGTGGTGGGGTCCGCGGACGACTAGCGGGGGTGGAAGCACATGCAGGTTGCGTAAGGGCCCTCATGCCAGCTGTCACATCCGTAGTCTGCGGCCCACACGCCAGCGACCCCACTTCACGCAACAGGGTGCAACTATCGCGCGCAGGCACGTTAGGCGTGCGCACGGACCGTGCCAGGGCGGGCACAATACAGGAAGCGCGACACATTGTAATCAAGAGGAAGAAAGCACACCTTGAAACCAAGTCGCGCGGGTCATTTCGTTGCTCTGCTGCCTCCTTGAGTGCCTGCGCGCGCAGAGGACGCGAAGGGCGGGGGCGGGAAAAGGAGGGCGGATTTGAATGGCGAGGGAGAGAGCAGAAGAGGAAGAAGGGAGGAGAGATGGAACGTGAGAAGAAGGCAGAGGAAGGGACGCGTGCGTGCGAAAGGAAACGCAAACGGTTAAAGAACAAGAGGGGGGAAACGGGAGGAGAGGGAGGGAGGCACGGGGTGGAAGAAGGCACGGAGTGAGGGGTGGGAGGAGCATGGAGCGGGCGGCAAGGGCTGCATACCAGCACTCCCTGTGGCGCCGCCCCCGCCTTGGCTTCCACCTGCTGCAGCTGAAGCTTCTTCGCTTGCTGCTGCTCGCCGGGCTGCTCTTTGCACTGCTGCACTGGCGTGGCGAGGCCTATGCTCTGAGGGGGGTTCTGCTGCTGCCACGGCGGGCGGTGGTCCTTGCCGCTCTCCAGCGCCAGCTGCCGGTACCGCTCCACTATGGCGTCCATGCTGGGGGGGGGGGGAGGTGGGGGGGGGGTAGGTGAAAGAGAGGCGGGGAGAGGCGAGGCTTGTGCGAAGGCAGGATGGCGCAAGGAGGGCCGCGGCGGTATGGGTGCACTCTGATGCGACGACCATGCTGATGAGCGCATGGCGCATCTGCTCACTCGGTGCAGGAGTGATGCTCACTTGGTGCGGGCGTCATACTGAATGCTAGCATGGTACTGACTGGGTGCTGACGTGGCACTGACTTGGTGCTGGCGTATTGGAAGAGCTTGCCGGTGGCGGAGAAGATGATGACGCCGATCTCCACGTCGCACAGCACCGCCAGCTCGTACGCCTGCCACGCCGCCAGGGGATGGGCGCACGGGGTGGGCGCAGGGGATGGGCGCAGGGGATGGGCGCACGGGGTGGGCGCACGGGGTGGGCGCACGGGGTCGGCGCACGGGGTTGACCGCACAGGGGTGGGCGCACAGGGGTGGGCGCACAGGGATGGGCGCACAGGGGTAGGCGCACGGGGTTGGCGCACGGGGTGGCGCAGGGGATGGGCGCAGGGGATGGGCGCACGGGGTGGGCGCAGGGGGTGGGCGCACGGGGTCGGCGCACGGGGTTGGGCGCACAGGGGTGGGCGCACAGGGATGGGCGCACAGGGATGGGCGCACAGGGGTGGGCGCACAGGGGTGGGAGCAAGGTGTGGGCGCAAGGGGTGGCGCAGGGACTGGGCGCATGGGATGGCGCAAGTGATGGGATGGGCGCAGATAGGTGCAGGGGGTGGACGCATGGGATGCGCGCATGAGATAGCCGCTAGGGATGGGCACCCGGGACAGGCGCAGCGCAGCAGGATGGGTGCACCGAGATGGGCGCCGCGCAGGGGAAGTGAGCAGCGCGCAGGACCCAACCTTTCCCCCATTTCCCCTCCTCTTCCTCTTCCGCCCACTTCTCTCCGGCACCCACCACGCCCATCCGCCCACCGCACCTTCTTCAGCACCCCCCCGCGCACCTTCTTCAGCAGCCCATTTCGCCGCTTCGAGAAGGTCACTTGCCGCGTCGTCGCGTTGTCAATCTTCCGAATCTCGATCTTCCCGCGTCCCATTCTGCACGCCTCCTTGAATTTGTCCCTCCAGAATACAGTCACTCCGCTGCCCTTCTTAGGTTTCGCTTCCTACCGCATCCTGCAAAAGACGAGTCCGTGCGATTCGGCTGATGCCTGCGACCCTGGGACGATTCTTCAGGTGCTGCTTGGCGGTTTGCGACCCTCGAATTGTTCCAGCGACGCTTTTCAGTTTTCGGCGACGCCCTGTGGCACGCGGCTGCTTCGTTCTGCGATGGTTGGCGATACCTGCAGCGCTAGGCGGGTCTTCTATGCATGGCGAAGATATATAAAGCTTGCACCCCTATTCTACCTCACGGCTTTTTTAGGGTTTCGCTGCCACCCAGTGCCCGCTAGGTCTGCTGTAAGAGTAGTCACTGTACAAATCGGCTACTTAGTGACTTGAATCTAAATGCCGTCGCCTTCTAGCGGCGTGGAGTGGCGAGAAAACACATCCAGGTCTGATCGAATTCCACAATCAGGGTTTGCAAATTGTCGCGTCGGGCATGTGAAAGGCGGAGGAATGGTAGTCGATACAAGAGCAGGTCCGGCGACAACCACGTCGACAGCTTATTACATACGAGCTGCCTAATCTCCTCTAACCCGTTATTAAGTTGCTTTTTACATCCTCCCAGCCTAATATTAGTAACACGCCAAGTCGCCTACAATTTCCACTGGAAATGTACGGTAATCGATATGGCAAAGGCGATCTGGTCAAAGGTTCGTTCTCGTTTTCTCGAGACCGTTCCGCTTGTCCTAAAAATGGCAACTACGTACTGTATTAGTCACCGAACCGCGAGACGAGTCTGTTGGAAATATGTACAGTACTCGGCTTGGATGGTGCAGTAAGCTTGCTTTCATGGTGCCCCTGAAACTGTACACCTCCCGAATTGGTGCATCCACCTCAATTTGAAAGCATCATCATGCTCCGTGAACGCATTCCTCTCGAATCCCATAAGAATGATCACAATACTACCTTCCCCAATCTACCGACAACGTCCCACTCGCTACAGACCTTCCAATCATGCATTGTTCCATCCCCTTCCCTTGAAAGTGGAAAAAGAATCCTTACGTCAAATCAGAGCATCCCACTTGACCGATAAGGTCAATTTGAAGTACCCCAATCTTTTGTTCATTGGCTCCATCAATTCGTTGTGTAGTTGTTTTGTGCAGTATCAAAAAAGATAAAAATATAGTATGAAATTGCATGCTTTTTCCATAGCATGATACCGTTAATGGTCGTGACCAGTTTTGAGTGGCAAGAAAAATGTATATTATAGCTTTCGGTATATACGACCAAGTCTGGCCATACGGAGAGCTTGACTGAGTGCATTGCATTGGGCGGTGTCACAATAATAATGTGTGCATCGTAATTTTAATTTTAAAATATACGAATACAAATCTCCAGTGACACTGTTCAAGTAGCTTGGCCTGGACCAAGCCATCAGATTATAAAAGTTTGAACGAAAATAAATATTCTATAATTGTTTTTCATATGTTACTTGCATAGATATGTTCAATCTCTTAGATGCTTGGTTTATTATTGAATCTTCTAGAATAACCTATGTCTATAAATGTTTTTTTTTTGAAGTAGCAACCAATTACTCTCAAGCTTGCTAAACCGTGAATCTTAAACTACTAGATTCTTCGAATGAAGCTGCTCTGCTTTTGATTATCACCGTGTGATTGAACTAATCTACCTGTACTTCCAGGGTTTCATGATTTCAAGTCTCCATACAACAATATCATAATTTCAAAAGTGCTGATGGTGAGCCATTGATGAGAAATTCGAGAGTACAGTTTGTTTGTCACTAGTGTCAGTGGCAGATGTTTAGTCTTGTACAGTGAATGCTTTGTTGGGACTGTAATATATAGCGAGTGTGGCGGCTGTTCGTGTTTTACACCGCGTTACAGAAGCACTTTCAGAGATTTCGCGGTCTATGATAGAAGGTGTGTGTGGTGGGCAAGCAAAGTGATCGTCATTTGCGTTGTTGGAATGAGAACAAATCCGTTCGCTTCCCCAACTCCTCCCACTCGCCCCCCACACCCCAATGGAAGAGCTACAGTGAGCAGCAGGCTGCAGCCGCGAAGCTTCTAGCAGGCCCCCTACCACCCGCCCCTACGTCAGCGTCGTAGGAGCACTTTGGGGGCCTGGAAGTGTACACAGCTCAAACCAGTGCTGAAGATTCAAAGGAATGAACGCCCCTAACATTTGGCCTATTCGTAACCTTGCTATTTTTTAAAAGGATCGTATTATGTTGGTCCTTTCCTATCCATGGGGAGAGATACTTATCAGGATATACGTGTTTTGCCGAGGGCCTTCTCCGAACATGGTTTTCCAGACTACCTTCCCAACCTGGCCTTGCAGCTGATTCTCCTGAGCTGACGGGAAGTACTACTCAGACCCCTAGATTCGTTTTGAGGTAGTCTGACGCCTCAGAGTACACCCCTCTTCCTAGTCTGGCTATCAGAGTTACCTATTTTTTCTAGTCTGAAAATTCAGACAACACTACGTTTTTTACGCTGAACGTTCAGAGTTAAACACAATTTCTGTTTTGTCTTAAACTGAAACATAGAATAACGAGATTTACAGCTCTGACAAGGCGAATCTCTACTCTGACAAGGCGAATCTCTACCGTGACAAGGCAAATCTCTGCCTAGGCAGGGCGAATCTTCGCCCTGACAGTTAGAATCTTCACCCTGACAGGGCGAATTTTCGCACTTCGCTCTGTACAAGGCGAATCTCTTCGCTCTGTACAAGGCGAACCTTCGCACTTCACCCTAGGCAGGGCGAATCTCTTCCTTGACAGGGCGGATTTTTGCCCTGACAGGTTGACTCTTCGGTGTGATAGAGGGCAAAAGTGGTGTGACAGGGCAAGCGTGTGCCCGATGGGCCCATCTGACGCATCAGGGGGGTTCAAAACCTAGCGAGGACCCTGCTCGGGACTTTGCGGTGCCGCGCTCGGGAAATTTTGGTTTCCCGCCCGTGATTGACGGTGAGTGCTACACGCCACCAGGCTGGCGGAAACCGCTGTATTACGGGTTTCAGGGGGCACCCCCGATACAAGTATGAGGCTCAGCCTGCACTAATAAAATTAGGCTGAAATTTCAGACAACTCATAAAGCAAAACTCTGAAAAATCAGACAAGGTACATCAAGATATTCTTAGACTTCAGACTAGGTACAAAAAAAAAGTCTGAATGGACTCTGAATCAGAATACAAAGTCTGATATCTAGGGCCCTGGTACTGCTGTTCATACGGAGAACGAGAACAACTATGAGTTTGGGGCATGAGTCGAAGAATCAAAGCAACGGTTCTTAACCTTTCGCTTAGCGAGGTGCCTGTCCTAGCCTTTCGAGTTGAATCCATGCTCCCAAAATCTTAGCTCCTCGTGTTCCACGCATGCCACCTTGAAAGAGCAATGGCCCTTTGTTCTAACTTCAGAAATATGTACCCCTAATTGTGTTCTTGTTTCGGTTCATGCCCCTTGGACCAAGAGGGTCTAAAGCAATCGACAACCTCTGTTTTACAAGACTTCGCATCAACTACCCAGTACACATGATGCCCAACCAGTGCATGCGAATTTGACCTGTGCCGGATGGAAACGCTGCACCAGATGTCTTTTCCCCAGCCTGTTGCATCCACGATACAAGCGCATCGCGTGGTTATGGACCAATAGTAACGAACAGACCGAAGTCAAACTGAAGAGATCGAAGTCAACCGGGAGGGGCTCAAACAGGCATCAATTGTATAGCGAAAAGATTCAGACCAATACAGTACTGATCTGATACATTCCGACCGCCTTAAATCCTAGAGACATCCACCAAGGTCGACCCTCCTGCCTTTTTGTGGTCGACCCTCTTGTGATTCGGATCGAATTACGATTCGCCACCTGGATGCCCGCCGCCAATGTACCCCCACCACCCACCCACCTGGTCGTCAATCACCCCTCACCCCCACACACCCCCCCCCCTCCCCCCCCCCTCTCCTCCCCCCCTCTCCCTCCCTCCCTCCCGACCGTCACTCCTCCTATCTCCCCTAATTCCTTCCGTTCCGCCTCCGCCTTTGCATCACAAACTGGGTGGAAATTATATGGGCAATCACAATTAGGCCCGGTTTATCACGTTTGGTCATAGGGGTATCACAAACAGTCACAGTACAGTTGTTTTTTTATCGCGGGTGATCACAGTGCTATCACGGATGGTCACACCTCGCCCCGAAAAGCTATCACGTTTGGTCACTCGTTGAAACGGTCGATAGAAAGTTGAAACTACTCAAGTCACTGTAGGGATTCAAGGAAAAGTTTTATCTATTGCGTCGTTTTGTCCGTATAATTACGAAATATTTTTGCCACAACTATCGGTAACTCGTTAAAAACATATGCAAATCATTGTTACTATCTGATTGTCCTCTGTTCGAATGATTCCCAATGGCCCTAAGTATATTACTTTTATACGGGTAAAATCGAAGGATATTTCTATTCCCAAGACGAAATAAACTAAAACCCATTTGGATGGGATTTAATTCGGGATGCATCAACCCTAAATACCTTGTCGCATGTTGTTTAGGGTTGATGCCTCCCGAAGAAGGTGCAATCGTTTAGGAGTTTAATTTGTTTCTTCATTCCCCTAAATGTCAGGCTAAAATCATGCGCGATGTAACAAGAAAAAAAAAATGGAATTCCCCAAAATTTCTACAGTTTCTTTTGTGGTTTCAAAATAATTAATATCGTTTCATCGAGTGACCAAACGTGATAGCTTTTAGAGGCGAGGTGTGACCTGAGAAAATGAACGAGAATGAATTGACTAAGGGAAAGTTGGGTACAAGTACAAACCCTAGAAAGTCGTACCCCATATGTGCTACCCCACTATAGCCTACAACAGCTATGTCATATAAATATGACACACCCCCATAGGCAAAGTGGGGGAGAACAAGGGGTCACAAGACCAGTCAAGCAAAGCAAACCAAGCTCAGGGTGGATCACAAAGTCACCACACATTCC